CAGTAAATAGGCTCAGCTACTAATATACTGGAAGGAGACCAATACTTACATACAGTAGCACAGACCTAGCTATCTAGCACTGTACATGAAAGATAATAGCAATAGGACAGAGACTTGTATGTCACTAGGATTCAAATCAAGAGGGTATGGGCAGCTACAGCCAGAACACAGGAACAAATAACTAAAAGTCTGATTCTGGTCTAGATAAAATAGAGCATTGCAGTAATGCAGCTTCTGCATGTAGACATGTTGCATCAGCTCTTCTTTCTCTCTCACACTCCACTTCCTCCTTCTGGGGTTCTTAAGCCACCCCACCAGAGACAGGAAGTGCTAATAAATAATTATACATAACACAGTGATATTAGCAACTAACAGTAGATGGCAGCAGATCCTACACACTTGTATGAAATGTGTATGTCCCGTCAAAAGCAACACAACATTTATAATAAACATCAGTTTAAGACACAGGGCACAATTCACTAAGCAGTATCTTACCGCACCCGAGTATGCAGTAGGATACCGCACAGCATTTAAAAAAATAAGTTTAAATTCACAAAAAAGCGCTATGAAACACAGCATGAGTTATTTTATCAAGTCATGTGGTATTTTAATATTGAAAACCATGTGTTAATGTTTCAGCTGTCAGCGGGGTTCCCCACTGACAGAAGAATGTAAGAGAAAGAATTGCCGGCAATTAAAAAAAAAAATTAAAAACCAGTGTGGGCCCCCCATTCATACCAAGCCCTTTGGGTCTGGTATGGATTTTGAAGGGAACCCCATGCCAAAATTTAACAAAAAAATGGCGTGGGGTCCCCCCAAAATCCATACCAGACCCTTATCCGTGCATGCAGTCTGGCAGGTCAGGAAAGGGGGGGGGGTGAGCAAGCGCTCCCCCCATCCTGAACCATATCAGACCACATGCCCTCAACATGAGGGGGGTGCTTTGGGGCAGGGGGGCCCCCCCAAAGCACCTTGTCTCCATGTTGATGATAACAAGGGCCTTTTCCCCACAACCCTGCCTGGTGGTTGTGGAGGTCTGTCGGCGGGGGGCTTATAAGACTCTGGAAGCCCCCTTTAGCAGGAGGGCCCCCAGATCCCGCCCCCCCTCATGTGAATGAGCATGCGGTACATGGTACTGCTACCCATTCAAAAAAAAAAAAACTGTAGTGTGAAAAAAGACAGGAGACAGTCTTTGACAAGTCCTTTATTAAAAGAGGAAAATTAAAAAAATGTCCCCTGAAGTAGATCCAACGTCAATCACGATGCCCGCCACTGCCGCTGCTACCCAGAAAAAGAAAAAAAAAAGGCTCCGCTCTCGATACTGGCTCCTGCCATATGACCGCTCCACTGGCTTGACAGTTCCTAAATATGTAAGGGGCACCCGGTAACATCACATGTGACCCCACCCCATCATCATCAACCATTGTGACATGCTGGGTCAATGTTAAAAACAATTAAAAATTGGCGTGGAGTACCCCCCTCCATCAGCTGCCAGCGGGGTTCCCCGAACCTGAATGTAAAATAAAAAAATCCCAAAAATAAAAACACCAAAAATAACACCCCTGGACCTTTTATTGAGACAAAGAATGTCTGTGAACACGTGCCTGGCTGAGGGGCAACTACTGGGAAAAAGAACTTGGGCAATTACCGGGTGGCTCCTTTGGGGTAGTGCTACTTTGGGATCCCAGGCAATTTGTTCACCACTGTAAAAATCTCCTTCCACCATTGGTCAGCCAACTATTGGTTTCTAAATGCTCCAAGGTTCTTTAGCAAGACTTGGTCACCTTCTTTCAGATTTCTGTAGCTCACGCGAAGATCAAGCCTTCTTTTGTTCTCTTTGTTTATGTTAGCTGTTCTTCAGTTAAATGGTAAGCAGACATGAGGGTAAATTACAGATGAGATACATATTGGTAATGATTTTGATGACTAATAACATCTGTGGAAACTCCTAGCAGGAGGTAAATGGACAATCTGTGCTCCCACCCAAACATCAGGAAATAGGAGGAGAATCTTTTATTGGTATAAGCATGGACCATGGCTTCAACCCTGCAGCTCCGGGTATGCTTGCCTTCAGCCTGTAGGGTACCAAGCATTAAGTGTCCAGGTGACAGGTGGCAACCCTAGGACATGTGGCCCGGTGGCCCTGGACCTCCGGCGTACACCCAGTGTGTCTTATGGCCAGTCCAAACTTGCCTAGCATATCAAGCAGGGTCCTGATGAACCTTTCAGGACAAGCATCACCTTCAGGATGGTAAGGGCTGGTTTGATTTTTCTGAAAGCTGAAGTAACTCTTTTATTAGTTTGCTCCTAACTTGAGAGGTGGGGTTATAAGCCTCCTTACCCCATGATTTGCTGTTCTCAGATTTCTCCTATATTGAAGGGCAATTATCAGACCCCATTACTGGTTGATCTCAGATCTTAAAGTGAGGGGTGGGGTTATAAACCTCGTTACCACCTCTGCCTCCATTACTGGCTGATCTCAGCTCTTATAGTGAGGGAAGGGGTTATCCAGCTTCTCCCCCCATTTTTGCCTAATCTCAGACCCCCTCTTTTAGTGAGGATCAGAGTTATGCACCTCCTTGCCCTGTTTTTGGCTGATCTCAGATCTTATAGTGAGGGGTGGGGTTATAAACCTCGTTACCACCTCTGCCTCCATTACTGGCTGATCTCAGCTCTTATAGTGAGGGAAGGGGTTATCCAGCTTCTCCCCCCATTTTTGCCTAATCTCAGACCCCCTCTTTTAGTGAGGATCAGAGTTATACACCTCCTTGCCCTGTTTTTGGCTGATCTCAGATCTTATAGTGAGGGGTGGGGTTATAAACCTCGTTACCACCTCTGCCTCCATTACTGGCTGATCTCAGCTCTTATAGTGAGGGAAGGGGTTATCCAGCTTCTCCCCCCCATTTTTGCCTAATCTCAGACCCCCTCTTACAGTGAGGATCAGAGTTATGCACCTCCTTGCCCCATTTTTGGCTGATCTCAGACCCCCTCCGGTAGTGAGGAGCACAGCTGTGTGTAGGGCTTACGATTTTACACCAAGAAATGCAATCAGACGACACCACTTTGAGGCTGGAACCTCACTTTTATGGTAAAGTTCAAAATAAGAACATGACTGATTATTGAAATGGCACTGTCTGGGGTAAATCATGCACAGGCGGAGAGGCACAGGCTGACAACAAGGTCATTTTGAAGCAAAACGATATGATGCAAGGCTTACAGGTTGCTGGGTGCACAAACAGAGCTTTCATAGGAAGAAAATTCCAGAATGGTCCCCTGTACCTCGGCACTGCCCTGGTGGACATTTAAAATGCAAAAAAGTTTTAGAAAATATGGTTTAATGAGAAACAGTTCTTTTAATATGGCTTAAAATGAAACAAAAACATAAAATTCCTATAAATAACATGCTTAGGGGATGACCTTCCTGTGAAGCGAGAAAACCTTTAGGATGTGCACAAGCAAAAAAGTGACATTTAGAGCAGGGGTCACTTTTCCTTCCACTGATACAAAGCACTATTCCTTCCATTGACACCAACGTTGGGGCGCCATTCTTCCCACCGATATCAATGATGAGACACTATTCCTCCCACCGATACCAATGATGGAGCACTATTCCTCCCACCGATACCAATAATGGAGCACTATTCCTCCCACCGACACCAATGATGGGGCACTATTCCTCCCACCGACACCAATGATGGGGCACTATTCCTCCCACCGACACCAATGATGGGGCACTATTCCTCCCACCGACACCAATGATGGGGCACTATTCCTCCCACCGACACCAATGATGGGGCACTATTCCTCCCACCGACACCAATGATGGGGCACTATTCCTCCCACCGACACCAATGATGGGGCACTATTCCTCCCACCGACACCAATGATGGGGCACTATTCCTCCCACCGACACCAATGATGGGGCACTATTCCTCCCACCGACACCAATGATGGGGCACTATTCCTCCCACCGATACCAATGATGGGGCACTATTCCTCCACCGATACCAATGATGGGGCACTATTCCTCCCACCCGATACCAATGATGGGGCACTATTCCTCCCCCCGATACCAATGATGGGGCACTATTCCTCCCCCTGATACCAATGATGGGGCACTATTCCTCCCACTGATACCAATGATGGGGCACTATTCTTCCACGACACCAATGATGGGGCACTATTCCTCCACTGATACCAATGATGGGACACTATTCCTCCCACTGATGATGGGGCACTATTCCTCCCACTGACACCAATGATGGGGCACTATTCCTCCCACTGATACCAATGATGGGGCACTATTCCTCCCACCGATACCAATGATGGGGCACTATTCTTCCCACCGATACCAATGATGGGGCACTATTCCTCCCACTGATACCAATGATGGGGCACTATTCCTCCCACCGATACCAATGATGGGGCACTATTCTCCCACCGATACCAATGATGGGGCACACTATGCCTCCCACTGATACCAATGATGGGGCACTATTCCTCCCACCGATACCAATGATGGGGCACTATTCTTCCCACCGATACCAATGATGGGCACTATGCCTCCCACTGACACCAATGATGGGGCACTATTTCTCCCACCGATACCAATGATGGGGCACTATTCCTCCCACCGATACCAACGATGGGGCACTATTCCTCCCACTGATACCAATGATGGGGCACTATTTCTCCCACTGATACCAATGATGGGGCACTATTCTCTCCCACCGATACCAATGATGGGGCACTATTCTTCCACCGATACCAATGATGGGGCACTATTTCTCCCACCGATACCAATGATGGGGCACTATTTCTCCCCAAATACCAATTATGGGGCACTATTCCTCCCATTATACCAATGGGGCACTATTCCTCCCACTACTACCAATGATGGGGCACTATTCCTCCCACTACTACCCATGATGGGGCACTATTCCTCCCACTACTACCAATGATGGGGAACTATTCCTCCCACTGATACCAATGATGGGGCGCTATTCCTCCCACTGATACCAATGATGGGGCGCTATTCCTCCCACTGACACCAATGATGGGGCGCTATTCTTCCCACTGATACCAATGATGGCGTGCTATTCCTCCCACTGACACCAATGATGGGGCACTGTTCCTCCCACTGACACCAATGATGGGGCACTATTCCTCCCACCGACACCAATGATGGGGCACTATTCCTCCCACCGATACCAATGATGGGGCACTATTCCTCCCACCGATACCAATGATGGGGCACTATTCCTCCCACCGATACCAATGATGGGGCACTATTCCTCCCACCGATACCAATGATGGGGCACTATTCCTCCCACCGATACCAATGATGGGGCACTATTCCTCCCCCTGATACCAATGATGGGGCACTATTCCTCCCACTGATACCAACGATGGGGCACTATTCCTCCCACTGATACCAATGATGGGGCACTATTCCCCAATGATGGGGCACTATTCCTCCCACTGACACCAATGATGGGGCACTATTCCTCCACTGATACCAATGATGGGGCACTATTCCTCTCACCGATACCAATGATGGGGCACTATTCTTCCCACCGATACCAATGATGGGGCACTATTCCTCCCACTGATACCAATGATGGGGCACTATTCCTCCCACCGATACCAATGATGGGGCACTATTCTTCCCACCGATACCAATGATGGGCACTATGCCTCCCACTGACACCAATGATGGGACACTATTCCCCACTGATACCAATGATGGGGCACTATTCCTCCCACCGATACCAACGATGGGGCACTATTCCTCCCACTGACACCAACGATGGGGCACTATTCCTCCCACTGATACCAACGATGGGGCACTATTCCTCCCACCGATACCAATGATGGGGCACTATTTCTCCCACCGACACCAATGATGGGGCACTATTCCTCCCACCGATACCAATGATGGGGCACTATTCTTCCCACCGATACCAATGATGGGGCACTATTTCTCCCACCGATACCAATGATGGGGCACTATTTCTCCCATTAATACCAATTATGGGGCACTATTCCTCCCATTAATACCAATTATGGGGCACTATTCCTCCCACTACTACCAATGATGGGGCACTATTCCTCCCACTACTACCAATGATGGGGAACTATTCCTCCCACTGATACCAATAATGGGGCGCTATTCTTCCACTGATACCAATGATACCTCCCACTGACACCAATGATGGGGCGCTATTCTTCCCACTGATACCAATGATGGCGTCCTCCCACTGACACCAATGATGGGGCACTGTTCCTTCCACTGACCCCACCGATGGGACAATGTTCCTCCCACTGACACCAGCGACAGGGCACTGTTCCTCCCACTGACACCAGCGACAGGGCACTGTTCCTCCCACTGACACCAGCGACAGGGCACTGTTCCTCCCACTGACACCAGAAATGGGGAACTAATTACCCCACTGGCACCAAAGATGCAGCACTGTTCCTCCCACTGACCACCTAGCCTAGGATATTGTTTACTCCCACTGACTCCAGGGCATTTTCTACTCCCACTGGCCACAATCCAGCCTCCCTAAACTTTGAAGGGCAGTAAACTGGCCCTTCGTTTCAAAAGTTTGGAGACCCCTGATTTAGAGAAGTCTTTCCTCTAAAAATGGCTGAGATCAAAGTAGAAGGGGGAAGGCTGCCCGTGATCTCGTGAGATATTGTGAGATTATGGTGTAGGCTAGTTTAAAAAGTGAAACCAAAGTTAAAAAGGCCGTGTAATTACATAAAAATAATAAGCATTAGGCACTGGCACCTTTTTCTAACATGTATTTTGGCGTATTTTGTTAATCACACTTTGTGAAGCATTCTTTAAATGCATATTTTGGGCTTTTTAACACACAATTTGGTGCAGGTTTTTTTTTATGTGCATTTTGTCGCTTTTTAAGTGCGTGTTTTGTTGCTTTTATATTGCCAATTTGGGCACAAGTTTTTTATCACGTATTTTGTTGTGTTTTTTTTTTATACATATTTTGGCATTTCTTTTAACATGTATTTTGGAGCCCTTTTAACGCACATTTTGGCACTTTATGTGCATTTTGGCAAAAGTTGCATCTGATAGCTGCGTTTGAATAGTCATTAATAATTAATTACATCGCAATTATTCACACATTGTGGCGCATTCTTTAAATGCATATTTTGGGCTTTTTTAACATACAATTTTGTGCAGGTTTTTTTTTATGTGCATTTTGTCGCTTTTTAAGAGCGTATTTTGTTGCTTTTATATTGCCAATTTTGGCGCAAGTTTATCACGCCTTTTGATTTTTTTTATACATATTTTGCCATTTATTTTAACACGTATTTTTGAGCCTTTTTAACGCTCATTTTTGCACTTTATGTGCATTTTGGCAAAACTTGCATCTGCTAGCTGCGTTTGAATAGTCATTAATAATTAATTGCACCTCAAGCGTTTTTCGTGCGTTTCTGGAACGTGCACAAAAACACACATTTCTGCAGATTCCTGGAATGCACAGGTGTTAAAAAAAAGTATCCCCCCCAAAATTATCCAAAAAAATATTTTTTAAAAATGCTCTAAAATATGCATTAAAAAAAGCGACAAAATGCCAAAATTTACCTTTTCAGGCACAGAGCATTGTGCTTAATGCTCAACGCATTCATTTTTTATAATTAATAATAATTATATAAATAATTATATAATAATAATATATAAATGATAATAATTTATTATATTATTTATAATAATTATATAATAAATTTATTATTATTATTATAATTTATTATATTATAATAATTTATTAATATTATTTATTATATTATATAATTTATGTAATAATAATTTATTATATTATAATAATTTATATTATAATAATTTAGATAATAATAATTTATTATAATAATTATAATTTATAATATATAAATAATAATAATGAATTTCAACTCGTGTTTTGGCGCATTATATAGTACATTTGTCACATGACAAAGCATGCGACAATATGCATGGTTGCTAACCGCATTTGGGGTGCTATTGACAATGAATGGCACCCAGAAGCAGAAGCCAGAAGTAGCATTTTGCCACAATTTCAGTATGATCTGAAATTGCAGGCAATCACACAATATATATACCAATATACACTCACCGGCCACTTTATTAGGTCCATCTTGGTAGTCCTGGGTTGGACCTTCTTCTGCCTTCATTCTTAATGGCTAGTGTTGGGCTTGATGTTCGAGTCGAATGTATGTTTGACTTGAACGTCGACCATTTGTGTGTTCGTCAAACACGAAACGGTAAGAGGAGTTCAGCGGACTTTAGCAGTGCATTGTCAGAGCCATGACTGGCCAACACAATGGGTCAGGTGCAATGCTTTGGCCAATCACAGCACAATGCACTGTGGAAGCCATGATCGCCCAAAGTCACGGTGACTTTGGCCAATCATGACTCACGGATAAGTCCCCGCCCCACACTATATACGACTGCTTACACTGCAGCCTTACGCAGTGCGTTGCTGGACACTGCCGAAGACAGAGAGGAGAATACTGTCCCTGGAAAAAAAAAAAATAAAAAAAAATATTATTTCCCACTTACCCTCCAGAGGATCCCCCTTCCTCAACAGGCCATTTTTTGCGGTACGGCACTGAGTTACTTTAACTGACAATTGGGCGGTCATGCAACGCCACACCCACATTAAATTTACGTCCTTTTTTCCCCTCAAATAGAGCTTTCTTTTAGTGGTATTTGATCACCTGTGCATTTTTTAATTTTTTGCTCAATAAACGAAAAACTCTTAACAATATGGCTTTCACGTACAACTTTTATGTCCCTTTGGCACACAGTCATTACACATGGGTCCCTCCCAATCCATACCAAACCCTTTAGGTCTGGTAGAAAGGTTAGAAGGGACCCCACAGTAATTTTTTTTTAAGTGTGTGGGGTTCCCCCAAAAAGCCATGCCAGGTTCAATAGGTCTGGTAGGAATTTTAGAAGGACCCCCCAGTAAATTTTTTTTTTTTAAAGTGTGTGGGCCTGGTAGGACTTTTAAGGAGAAAACCCACCCCCCCAAAATTGGGCAAAAAAAAAAAAAGGCATGAGGTTCCCCCTAAATTCCTACCAGACCCTTGATCAGAGCACAGTTCTGGCAGGCCAGGAAAGAAGGGGGGGGGGACAATGGAGCACACCCCCTCCCTGTGGCTTACCAGACCACAAGCCCTCCGCCTTGACCCCATGCTATAGAGGCAAGAGCCTCTTTCCCTACAATCCTGGCTCAGTGGTTGTGTGGGTCTGCGTGCAGGGGGGCTCATTAGCATCGGGGTACCCTTTGCCCCCCTCCTTGTGACTGAGTAAGGGGTACTATTCACTAAAGGGTTACATTTAGAAAAAATTCCTTTAACTGAGCAAAAAACAAAACAGCCAAAAAAGCGAAAAAAAAAAAAATGGTTTCATGGATGTAATCCATCAATCATGTTCAGCAATGTCCCAAGGATGCGGATTCGCCGAAAAACCCTGACCCCCGCCAGCCCATCGGCACCCACCATGCACTTGCCGCAGTATGACAGGACAGTTGTCATGTAAACAATTGGGTGGAGCTAGCAGTGACGTCTTCGGTGTTTAAAAATAGGCATTCTCATGTTTATTTTGTTTGTATTGGTAATTTCACCAATATTTGGGTAATGTGGTGCATTATTTTACAAGGATGCCAATATTTTTGGCCATGACTATGTGTGGAGCTAGTGTGGGGAAGGCAAATATTGTAAGATAAGTATTGTATATATTAGCAATGTCATGGAAATTTTGTATTTACAGGTTGAACTTTAAATGTGTCATATATTAGTGTTATTCATATGTCTCTCGTGTGGCTTAATTAAAGCTCTGAAGGCTGCAATTGGGCCATGCGCATTTACAATGTATGTATTACAGTACTCAGCTCGGTAACGGATGAGATGGCAGATCTGCGCTTATAGACCGGCGTGTATACCACCACGGCATCCGATGCGAATGCCGCCGGCGTTAGGCCGCGGGCCTGTATCCACATATCAGCAGCATAGTACCACATGGACTTCGTACCGCAAGGCGCCAAGCGGTGTGAACTCCGTGTGTAGGCTCATGTAGATCTTACAAACCATTACCGACCTGAACTGTATCTGGATGGATGTGTTTTAATAAATATCGTATCGGGCCCATTCAGATACAGACTGACACTGTTTA